TGGTCTGATCTATGCCAAGCTTTGTGACCATATACTCTTGAGAAAGACATCCACAGAAGAGTCAAATCACTAAATAGAGTTTAAGATGAATTTGGCAGGCGAGGACTATACTTGTTAACTATGCATAAGATATATAGCAATGACTAATGATGTGTTACCAGCAATGTTTTTTGTTGTTTCTGCAGATATCCCAGAGCTTAGAGCATAAAGGGTATCATCAACATCTGAAAATTCAAGTGCAAGCAAGTTTTAAGATTCCTTATAACAGCATTTTAAATATTTACTACAGGATTACATATACAGAAGAAGACTTACCAAAAAGAACGCATTCATATTTTTGCCCTGATACTTGCTGGTAGCTATCCTTTTCCATTTCAAACCCAAAAATTTTCAACAATCTAATTAATTCAAAGCAGAAAACAATCTTATAAGGTTAAGTTGAAGCACCAGAACATTCTCCTTGTGCATAAAATAGATCAAGAAAATCATGACAGTTGCACAAAACAATACACATAACAAGCAATTGTATGGCTACCCCAATCTCTGCATCAGTTTCGAAAGGTCTGAATCCCCTCCCACGGACGAGGGAGAAGATGATGGACTTCTATTTAGCAGGAGAAAAGCCACAATTCAGCAAATGAAACTTTCAAGTAACAATAGTCACAGGACATAACCCAAAACATAAACCATGTGTCTGGCACAATATTGGAATTGGACTACTACTGAGACAACAAGTGAAAACCAAGGATCAAAAGTCTGAACTGCAAATAAACTCCATTAGACACTTTAATCTCACCAACAAATGAACAAAATATCTCTCAATGAAAGATCCTTAGAAAGGCCAAAACTATCACCCGCGCAAGTACCAAAAATTGAACAAAACATGTCTTAATGACAGATCCTTAGAAAGACTAAATCTATCACTCACGCAAGTGTGTTGGTGAGAAAAAAATCATGCTTTGTAACCGGACTAATCATTCATGGCATAATACCAGAAGTTTGAAGAAAAGACAGTAAACCAAAACAGAGCACCGGCATTACACCCATGAATCAGTTCCTAGAAAAGACAACTCCTTGCTCGAATAATTACATTTATCAACACCCGTACCAATGCTTCTAACCATAGCACTTAAAAAGTAACCATACTAATATTACTAATGTACCTGCACAAAATCTAGAGCAACAGTTTCGACTTACACATAACTCATACTATATTCTTAAAGCATAAATCCAAGATGAACTAAAGCCTCAAAGAGCACAATATTTTTGATCAACAACACAAAAAGTTGCAATCTTTACAATTTATGCCACGTTAATGAAAGCATCAGCGGTAACAGATTCAATGAAAGAGTGACCCATTGAAGCAATGAAGGCTAAGAACATTACCAGATTCAAGCGAGACAATAAGTTAAGAAACTGCCCGCTGCAAGAGAAAAAATTATCAAGAAGTAGAAGAATCGAAAGAAAGATGAAAGATTAGTTAATGCCAAAGAATGGAACGGGCGCAGAACAAGGGCGGAAATTGAAGAGAGGACTGCTCTTAAATAGTCCGCGTCGAAGCCATAAAAACTAAAAAGCAGTTGGAACGTTTTCTTTGCAATTCAAATAGGGTTAATCTCATAAACCTCCTCAAGGTTCATCCTAATATCACCTGAAGCTCTCAAAGTTTCAAAAATTTCACTTACCTCCCCTTTCAATATGATGTGACTAGATAAACCAATTAGAGGCATTGAAATGACAAAGTTAACTCGAATGTTTTCCTACTTTTTTAAGTAGCAAAAGGTTGGAAAAAGAAAAAAAATCCTACATGCTAAAATATCTAAAAACAAATAACAAGAATGCCATCTAAGATATTTTTCTCCCATTTTGTTGTAAAAATCTTTACTTTTAATATTCGTCTTTGCCACAATTGATCTCCTAAAATTTTCATCATAATTTCCCTCTTCATAACAAATTTTTTGTCTCTTTGCTATAAAATTTTTACTTTTAATTTCTTCCTTGTTGCAACCAATCTCTTGAAATATTTGCCTTTTTTATAATGTTGATGTAACTTTAGAAATTATACTTACACACAACAGTATTATCTAGTTACTTATTGCATTTACACCTTCTCATATTACAAGTTTAGTATTCCATCTTATTTGTCTACTTTCATACTTCAAAATTCATAAATCAAATTATAAGATAATATAATCTCTCTCCTCCAATGCATTTTTTAAATAGGATTAATTACACTTTGCCCCCTTGAACATAGGTCCTTGTAATACTTTGCCCCCTAAATTTCAAATATATATACTTTATACCTTGTTGTCAACTTTTTGATGGGATTAAAATGATATTATATTTTTCATGACCAAAATATCCCTGACTAATTCTTAAGCACACATAATAATTGTAACATAATAAATACCTATTTATTTAATAGTTGCTAAATGCATCTAAACACAATTATTCTATGCATTTTGAGCTTTTAGTACTAAAATGAATTAGATAATTCACAAAAAAAAGCCTAAATAACTCAATGTATTTATTTTAATGCTGATGGTAGTACTTATTTTAAATGAAATAAAATTAATTAGTGAGTTTGGAATAAAAATTATTTCCTTATATTTGTTATTGCAACACATTTTTATGTGTTTTATATGAGATAAAAACGTGATTAAAAAGTAAAAATGTATTAAAAAACATATTTGAGATTTTTTTTAGTTTTTTTAAATGTAGAACTCAAACAAAATACAAAGCAATGATGAATGCGGCATAAAATTAATGAATAACATTTTATTGACTCATGAAAATCTTGTAAAAGCTGCAAGCTAAATGAAAATTATTAAAATCAATCCGTTTACAATTTTTTTAAAAAAAAAAGATAAGCGATGGAAAACTTGTGCAAATGTTTTAAGAATTTTTAAATTCTTTTTTCTCTGCAATACAATTTTTCAATTTTTTGGTATTATACCATCTTTTATTTTTTAATTTTTTAAATCATGTGACATTGTGTTTTTTTCTAATAAGATGTTTTATATTCCAATTAAAAGCATAGTATTATTCTAAAACTATTGTGTAAGGGCATTAATATCATTTTGTTAAAATTTTGATGGAGAATTCATCATTAACGTTTGACTAATCAATGAAAGGGGCAAAGTGCATATATTTAGAATTAAGGTGGATAAAGTGTTATAATGATTCAAGTTCAGGGAGGCAAACTGTAATTAACCCTTTTTAATAGTATTGCTTTTACACATAAGAGGTGACAATATGACACAAATTATTATTTAAGGGGAGCTATGTGAGATTTCTAAAACTTTAGGAGTGTTAGGTGAAATTAGGATAAATCTCAGAGGAAGTTTCTGGAATTAACCCTTAAATAAATATAAAAGTTTGAAAGCTATAGGAAAAGTCGTTCATTGAAGGGTTTCCAGGACTGGAAAATGCACACACATTTTACTAATACTAAATTAGTTGAAGTTAAGTTAGTTGAATGGGCTGGTCCAGTCATCTCTTGACAAGTTGAAAACTCAACACCGCGTAACAGAAAGTCCCGACCAATGCCGTCAACACAGGCATGCGAAGAAAGACCATTCCTCAGTCTCCACGGCTTTATGCTTTACTTTAAGGGTTAATCACATTTTATCCCCTTAAAGAATACCCTTTTTTTCAGTTTACCCCCTAACCTTTAATTTTACTCACTTAATCCCTTTTAGGACAAAATTGCCCTTGCATTATTTTGACTTTTCATTTACCTTGTTTTCCTTTTTTTTATTTCTTTTTCTCTTTCTTTTTTATTTAATTCTTCTTCTTTCCTACAAAAATTTTCACCTTAATGATTGAAATTAAAAAAGAGGAATTGCAGAGATCTATCTTCTCCTTAAATGATTAAAAAAATATTCAAATCACTTTCCTAAAATACAATTTTTTTAGCCTTTCAATTCTTTTAATTTTGGATTTTCCTCTTTCCTTTATTGTTTCTCATTTTATTCCCAAGAAAATATTTTAAGATGAAATTGTGACCTGATTAATAATCATCAATTGAAATTTGTAACACATAGCATTATACAAAAAATCAAAATTAGTTTTTGATGCCTTTTAAACTTTCATCCAGAAATATGCAATAACAAATTCAAAACAAAAATTTTCGGTGAAATAGAATTTCTATTGGGAAGGATGAAAGAGAGAAGAAAAAGAAATAAAAGAAAGGAAAACAAACTCATCCTAACCAAATTTCTACCCTACGCCAGTTCCACATGATCCTATTCTATTCAAACTCATCCCGTTTGATTAGTGTCCAAGCTTTCCAGCATTTTGTAAGAATATAACTAAACTAGAAGATCTAGAATACAATGACAGGAATAGGATACTTCCTTCCTAGTTCCCCGAACCATCCCACCCAAAAAACAAAAAAAAAAAAACCGGATGCTTTCACATTTTGAAGCATTGCAGATTATATTAGCAAATTAATATACGTGGTTGGTCTTTGGTAAAACACCAGTATATATTTCAAGGGCATAACTTGTCTCCGTAGCAATGAGTATTGGAAGAGTCATGAGCACAATGAATGTCTCTACATTCTTGAATCATTGAGAAAAAGTTTAGTACCTTGTTTAGAAATCCATTCCGATCAAGTAAAATAAAGAAATTCTTGAACGCTTTAGAAGCTTAAAGAAGGTATAAAACTCAGACTCCGCTTTTCCTGATTAAAGCCTCTCAATTTGTTCATCGGAAAGCGAAATTGTTTTAATAGAAGAGACAGAAACAAAAACGGAGGAGAATGAGATAATTTATGCAATCAATCAAGACGCTTAGGGTGAAAGGAGAAGAAAAAAAAAAATATACGAAACCCGGGAAAGGAAGGGAGGAGGAGGAGGAGGTTGTCTCTATTCAGGTTTCCGAACAACGGGACAGGCCACCTGAGTAAACAAGTAGGGGCTTCCTGTCAAATTCTTTTCTCTACCGTGTTAAGGTGATTTTTCTATTCCAGAAAAAGAAAATGGTAATTGTGAAACTAACCAAAATGACCAACTTCTCAAGAACATGCTCAAGTTGCAGAGTGAACGTAAATCAGAATTGCTCAAGTCCATGTACATCAAATTGTTTCTTTCATCTTTTCCAGTATTTTCTTTTAAACCAAACTTCAACAACTATGATATAACAATACCCAGATGCGCTAGTAGAAGATTGGAATCTTGATGGTCCCACTGCCTCCAATGCCATCCTCGAGACACCACCGCAATTGTGTTACTTGGCGAGGGTGGGCAGCGCAATGTGAGCAACCAGCAGTACCTAAATGTGAAACCTTTTTATCGATGTCGTTGCTTGGAGAAGAAAAGAGGTCAGAGAGCATCTGGCCATCAAATGCCAGCATCAAGAACAGCCTAACCCAGAAAAGGAAGTCATGACATTCTGTACAGAAACTAGCTTGTGTCCTGGATCTTAAGCAGGAACAACCTCTGGTTCAAGAGGTGATGGCCCATCATCATTTGTAGTTCTATCATCAATAGCCTGCTTAGTCTTCTGAACTTCCTCTTCAAACCCTTGCTTGTATCTGTCATAATTTGTTACCTCAGCTGATTCAAAAGGTCGTTTACCAAGTACTTGGACCAAGTCATCCTGATGAAGAACCTCTTTCTCCAGCAACAGTTCAGCAATTTTAGCTACACGCTCCTTGTGTTCCTCAATCAGTTCAACAGTTCGGTTATAAGCCTTGCCAACCCATTCACGTACTTCAGCATCTATAATTGCTGCGGTCTTGCTACCATAAGGTCTGGTCATCTCAAATTCATCCCTCTGAGGAAAAGAAAGAAGACCCACCTTCTCGCTAAAACCATAGACAGCAACTTGGGCATATGTCATTTTTGTCACTTTTTCCAGGTCATTCTGGGCTCCGGTTGATATTTTACCCAACAGAACCTGAATCAACAACAAAGTAAAATCAAATTATTATAAGCAAACTTGTTATTATCCACAAAGTAACAATTTCTCTCTCTCTCTCTCTCTCTCTCTCTCTCTCTCTCTCACATGAAAATGTCCCTCGTACTCATAAGCCAAGGACTCTTTTCAAATAATCAATTTAAATATCAGTCCACAATGGTGTGTCTCATAACAAATATGAAACCAAAAAATAACGTAACATGTTTTTATTGCACCGCTGAACTTTTGAACAATTCCCACAAGAAATGTCCAGTGATTTGTTAACGTCAACTCTAATAGAAGTTTTTCATAACTAAAATACCTACATCGGCTGTTCTACAGAAAAAGACATGAACTGTTCAGCAGCTTTGTAGTTACCTGTTCTGCAGCACGACCACCAAGAGTCATGCATGTCATGTCAAAAAGTTGTTCCTTTGTCATAAGAAGGTTCTCATTGGGGACATACTGAGCAAAGCCAAGTGCTGCAGTACCACGAGGAACAATTGTTACCTTCAACAAGGGTTCTGCATGTTCTAGAAACCAGCCAACAACAGCATGACCAGATTCATGGTAAGCTACAGTACGGCGTTCAAGTTTGCTGATGACCTGTTTGAAAAGCACAGATATTACTGTTCTCTGATAGTTAAACTTCAAATAACTAGACATCCTTATATACATGACCAACCAGCCCTGGACCCTAAATAGTAAGCATATGCTTGCCAGCAAATGAAATTCTGATTTACCTTGTTTTTCTTCTCCAGACCACCAATTATTCTATCTATGGCTGCATCAAAATGTTCCATTTTCACCTGTGTTTCCTCGTCCTTGCAGCAATCAAAGCAGCTTCATTACAAACATTTGCAATATCCGCACCAGCAAATCCAGGAGTAAGGGCAGCAAGTCTCTGTGAATAATAGGATGGCTCCTGATCAAGTTTGATCTTTTTCAAGTAGATTTGAAATATCTGTTCACGACCTTTGATGTCAGGGTTATCTATGCTAATTTGTCGATCAAATCGACCAGGCCTTAACAAGGCTTTGTCTAGAATATCAGGTCTATTGGTACCAGCAAGAACACCACCCCAGATGTGGTTCCAAATCCATCCATTTCAACAAGCAACTGGTTAAGAGTACTTTCACGCTCATCATTACCTCCAGAAAAACCGCCACGTCCCCTTGCCCGACCAATGGCATCAATTTCATCAATAAAAATTATACTAGGTGCACACTGCCTTGCCTCTTGGAATAAATTTCTAACCCTTGAAGGCCCAACACCAACAAACATTTCCATGAAATCTGAGCCAGACATGGATAAAAATGGCACTCCAGATTCACCTGCAGTTGCTTTTGCCAAAAGAGTTTTACCAGTGCCTGGAGGACCAACCAACAGAGCACCTTTAGGAATTTTTGCCCCCAGCTGCTCATATTTCTTTGGGTTTTTAAGGAAGTGCACAAACTCCATTATCTCCTGCTTTGCTTCATCACAGCCAGCAACATCTTTGAAATAAACCTGCATAAGTTGCAAGATGGAAGGAAAGAAAGAAACATTCAATGTACTTCCCAAATTCCATGCCAAACAGCTACTAGATGGCCTGGAACGAACTCAAAGCCATCAACACAATTACAGAATTCAAAAAGTTAATTAGCAAAAAAAGGACCGACCTTGTTTTTAGCATTCTTATCAACTTTCGTAATTTGAGCTTTCCCTATATTGAATATTCCACGTGCACCTTTTCCACCAGAACCTCCCACACCTAGACCACCTTGCATTCTCCTCCCCATGTACATCAGGGAACCCAGAAGCAACAGTGTTGGTGCAAACCTCATTAATTCCTGGTACCAAACCATTTCAGATGCATATGTAACTGGTACATAGTCATGAGGATCTATTCCCAGTGCTTCCTGGGCTTCCTCCAGCTTCTCCTCAAAAGATTCAACACTTCCAATATTGAAATAATACTTATAGCGACTGGTGTTCTCTCCAGAAGGGTTGCTGCTTCCAAACGGTGCACCTTCTTCAGCATCTTCATGACTCAGATTCCGTGGTTTGCTTCTCACATATACTCTTGCAACTGATTTATTTGAAACCACAATGTGATCCACCAAACCTGGTTCAAGAAGCTTATTTTTGAACTCCTGAAAGCTAATCTGCCAAAAGTAAAATCAGAGTTAATTGAGGGAAAGTTATCGCATCTCCACACCCCAAAAACAATAAACAGAATGAATAGACAACTGGAACCTGTAGAAGCAATACTCATGCACAAGCACACAAGGGTTCAGCACGTTTTCAATGCACCACCATTTATGTCAATGTCAGATTTATGCCATAAACTAGGTGTCAAAGTATTTTGGATAAAGAAGTCTCATATTTATGGCTGAATAAAAACCTGCAGAAAATAATGAAGCAAACCAAGCTAACTGATGAGCAGCAATCTAGGTAGATTTAGTTATCAAATTCTTTTATGTGGTTAGCTTTTGAACTTTAGAACTTGATAAGAACAGTCCTGTGCGATTTTAGTTCCAAACTGAATCAAACTACTTCGTGGCAATACTACAGCCAATTTTTTGGTAACAAAGTCCAGAGTTTAAATTATCACACAATTTTTCTTCCTGTCCCACCACTAAGTTATATATTCAAAGTTCATTTAAGTGCAACCTTTCACTCCTCAGATAAACATAGTAGCAACCATATTCTACAATCTAGAAGATAATTAACTCTAAATTAAGCATGGAAGCAAAATACAAGCTAAAAGTGAAAGACTTGCAGTAGATTGTGTAGTAGTGCAATTGTCCATAAGTGGTAATCACAATTTTCTTCGTTTACTTGCCTAGTAGGATGAATGAAGGTAACCAAGTACTTATTGCAAGTGTCCATAAGTGGTAATCACAATTTTCTTCATTTACTTGCTAGTAGGATGAATGAAGGTAACCAAGTACTTATCTAGCAAAAACTGAAACATCAAACACACATATCCTTTTTCTTTTCTCTTTCGTTCATTTGGTTTCTACATTCTTTGTGATTGTGCTTTAGCACTCACCTAGCAAGAACTGAAGTATCAAACACACTTGTCCTTTTTCTTTTCTCTTTGGTTCATTTGGTTTCAAAAAGGGCAGCATCTATACAGCTCAAGGAAAACTAAGGATTGTGCCGCAGACAGTATGATCAGAAGCAAGCTCTCCATTTCACAAATTGATCTGTCAAGATTGATCATAGATGTCCTTCTAAAATGTGTTTATGATACCATGCAAAGATCCTCTTATTCGGTCTCCAATGAGTCTAGAAATCTTATTAGTTTAAGAATCCATTTTTTTTGCCACAAAACAGGAAAACTAGACATTTCAATACAAATATGAATGCAAAAAGGAATGGTATATGATAGCAAAATAGCAGAGCACAACCACTGGAACCTAATTTTAACACCCCAAAAAAAAAAAATTTTCACCATGTGAGAACAAGAATGCACTTACTCTCAAAAGGTATTTAAAATAACATCACTGCCCAAAATCTTATATTTCCAACTTCATGAAAGACCAACATTACAAGATAAAAGTGAACTGGTTTTAATTTGCAATTCTACAACAGGTATAGTATACATTTTCTACTTGTAAAACTAAACAAGTATTTCCAGCATATGCTTACTTGTTTCTGTTCGCGAGGGCTGATTGACAATGATGACAGTATTATTGCAACCACTAATAATGGTGTAATTAAGTTTTGTGCCAGCTTCATAATAGTATCCTGAAAATTGTTGTTACCATCTGCATTTCCACCCTCTGCAAGAACATATATAAGAAAGCTACTATTAGAAACATGAAGGTCATCCACCCTACAAAGTGCGTAAAACCATTTTAAGATCAATTCTTAATACTCTGGGAAACAAACGAGAAAAAATCTTCACGGTATGGCGATATGTTAATAATACTCAAACCTAAACTCTCACTAGTTACATTTGATCATTCATGAGCAAAACCCACTCCAGTAACCCTCTTCCCCTCCCCCACCCTCCAAAAAAGGCCTCCACTTCCTAGCTTTTATCATTGAATCAAAAGCTCAATATGGTCTTTCACAAATGAATAAGCAGAGACATCAAAAAATCTTGCTACATATAAATCTGAATAGCAAAGGCACAACAACAATTGCCTTATATAAAGTAAACAATATTTTTCCAACTGAATCTCAATAAATACCATCAGTTTAATGTTTCCCATCAGTCATTCATTTCAGTTTAAGACCTAAATGGATGAGTCTAAAAGTCGCAATAAGATTGTCAATGGTGCAAAGATCAACACAAGTACAAATTACAAAGCTTTCAAAATGTTTCTTTCACTTTTTAAGCATAATGTGTCTGTTTTGAAGCTACTTAGTTTCCCATTTCACTAGCAACAGCTGAGAACTACACAAGAACTTGTTTACCGAGTTATTAACCATATTTCCAGCAATTGTTTCATCGTGTTTTAATCAATAAAACATTAAACGATAAAAACAAACCTTTAGACTCTGATTTCTGCCCATTTTCTTTGGGAGTTTCTTTCTTGTCTTTTGGATAAAAATTCTCATACTCTGCCAAAAATACACCCAAAATAGTCATTAAATGTCAGGTATTTTCAACCTACAAAAACATAAAAACACAATCTTTTAAATGACGAAAAAATGAAAAAAAAAAAACTTACTCTTTTTCTTGGGAGCTTCACTGGAGAAAAATCTACGTAATCTAGGGTTGGCAATAACATAATTGAAATCCAAAAAATATGAAGCTTTAGGAAATTGTCCGCTTTTTCCCCCAACAGAAGCTAAATATTCCCTCAAAAGCCCTAACTTTCCACCAAACTCACTATTATTAAGCTTTTTTACATCAAATCCTCCAAAATTCCCATTATCCCAAATCGCTGACCTTCCTCTAAACCGACCATTTATCACATTCTGCATCCCAAATGATATCCCACGAAAAGAAAAAAAGAAAAAGCAAAAAAGTTAGCAACTTTAAGAAAATCTGTGTAAATAGAGGCAGAGGAAAGTAAGAGAGAAGCTTACCCTAGAAGCAGAGGAGCGAGATAATGAACGGCTGAGTTTGGAAAATATCATCTTGATTTGTGAAAATAATTAATGGGATTCTCTATCTTCTTCTTGGACAATTGATAATCAATGTCTCTGAAGGTACTAAAGCAGATACAAATGAAAATTGAAAAAAAAAATTATAAAAAAACAAATGGGGTGGTTTAGTACGGGGTTTAGAGGTGAAAAGGAGCTGGAGGCAGGAGATCATACAGATGACAGCAAGAATCCATACAAAGGAACATTGATGGAGTATTTGTATTCTAGGCAGATGGTAAGGCTACAGAACGTGGATTTTAATCTAAAATTGGGGCTTTGTTCAGTTGCTGTGAATATGAGATGCCTCGATAATTTTTGTCTTTTATTGGGTTTATTTGTTTCTGTTGGATAAAAAGAAAAATAGACAGTGGCTAGCCGGTGCCTGGTCGCTAAGCTGGTGGTGGGCGGCTCACGGCTGATTTGGGCGCAAACTCGAAACTTGGGAAGCAAGACGAAAATCTTTGGTAGCTTCTGTTATGTCGTGGGTTTGGCTTAGCCGAAGGAACAAGACGAAATTTTGATTTTTGGAGGCTTTGACCTTATGAGGTAGAATGAGGGAAATTTTGCAATTGCGGTAAATATGAAATATCATTATACATATATATATATATATATATATATATATATATGTAGCCATATGAAAGTAATTATTTTAATCAGAGTTGTTTCTCATCCCTACGTGGCATGTCTAATTGAAAAAATTAACGGGTTATGAATAATTTAAGTTTTACCCATATTGAATCCTATTTAGATTATATTATATGTTTCAAAATTATCTTTAAATTTAAAATAATTTTAAAAAACAACTAATCATATCTTAATGATTTTGCTTTCTATCAAATTATTACATATAGAACTATATTAAAATCTTTTTCAAATCACAATTATAGAAATCTCACATATTCCAAATTACTTTCTTAATTACAATTATTAAAATCTTACATACCCAAATTACTTCCTTTCACTACCATACCGTTGATTATTATTCAAAACGTTCATAATTTCTTCTCTTAATTTTTGAATTAACTTGGTGGAAAAAATCAGAATTAACTATTACATTGATGGATTTACCAATATTGTTGGGAACAAAATATTTATTAATGAAGAAAAATGAATTGCTGGATTTTTTCTATTTAATTAAATATGAATATATAGTTATAGATTTATGGTTATTATAAAATTTAAGTTGTCAAAAATAACATTTGTAAAAAAAAAGAATATCTACCAAATTATTGATATATGGTACATTATTTGAAGTATACTAGTGAAAGTATATAAACAAAATTTTAAAATTAGTAAATAATTGAACATTTAGAATAGATTAATTTTTTAAAGTTAGTGGATGAATATGTAGGATATTTGTTAATTTTTGTATTTAAATTATTTATATTTGTATAAATTCACAATAAATAAAAAGAAACCGTGCTAAGCCATGGGCAAATTTCTAGTATGGGTTTATTGGAGAGGTTTTGTAGGTCCATTCTTTGGTCAGTGTAATGCATGTTTACTCATCCTTCAATTTAAAGAACAATAATTTAAGGATAAATTACACTAACAATCCCCTGTAATTTTTATAAGAGCAAGGAAGAATATCAGGGACCTTCCTCTGGTTTGTTAGATAGTAATATAAAAAAACTTCCTCTGCTCTAATTAAGGGACGAAAGTTAATTACTTTGGTAATAAATTAACTTTAATGTCCTCAAAGTGCACTTACAGTGACACAAATAAATATTTTAAAGAACGAAAAGAGGGCATGACTAGTTTTTTTTTTTTTTTCCGAAAATTGATGACCTTTGATCGCATGTGTAGCCATAAAAGTTGGCCATCCAGCACCTTTTAAAAAAAATTTGAGATTAAGTGCCTGTGTTTTCAAAAGTAAATTCTCAATATTTTTTCTACATTGACTTGGAAACTGAGTTAATGTCTTAATTCTCTATTATTTAACATTCACATACAATGAGTTAAAATTTCACAGGATTAAGATATTTGATGAATGCGAGGTTAAAAATATCTTGCTTTGTTTTAATCCTTTTTATTGTAAGAATAGATACATGTGTTGTTTATTTTGATGGGTGAGAATAAAAAAATCTACAATAAAATCACAAAACAAGGAAGTCTTCCAATTTCATGAATTAGACTCTATTTCTTTTTACTTTTTCTTCCTTTCAGAAGACAACTTAAAACTATTTGTTTTAACAACTTTCTTTAATTTAATATGAAGAACATAACCACAGCCTTTAAGGTTTTGAGAGGTGGGAGGTCAATAGTTTAAATTTTACCTCCCACCATTTGCCATTACACGTGGATTGTCACTTTAAGTGACTTAAATCTATACAAGTGCGTAATGCATCCGTCTAATTTGATGGTAATTCAGTTCCTGTCAATTCTCTAATAGATCTAGTTGAGCCTTCCCCCTTTAAAATATGTTAGAGTAGAAACAGAAGTAAGATAGATAAGTGATAATTGACAAAAAAAAAAAAAAAACATGAGCAACAAAGGTAAGCGGTAAAATTATAATTTCAAAACAAGCTAGATGGTAATCACTGACAAGGGAGGTCTTTATAATTTTTAAATCAAGAAAGAAATTTCCCATTTCTCCTAAAAACTATAGGAGAAGTTGGCGTAATTTACCCATAATTTTGGAGGGAAATAGCACAGTTCGCAAGAAGTAAATTGCGTTGAAACTAAATATGAATGAGTCACTATTGTGTCTCATTGGAATCCCCAGTGTTCCAAATAATGAAGAAAATAATTCGAAAAAGAGTACAAGAGCACAAGACCTTTATTGTGAAATGTATCGCTTTCTCAGTAAAAGTCTAGTCTGCAACATTATTATTAGAAAAATATGCCATTTTGATCGCAAATAAAATGTACTACTTTTCTGGAAAAAATATATATCCCTTTACAATGTACTACTTTTACATGCAATTATCAAAGAATGAAACGTACAACTCTTTATAATCTTAAAATGTCAAATTCATTATCTAAAAAGCAAATGTTGGATAGGATTTTTCTTTTCCCTCTCTAAACTTTTAAAACAATTGAATGTGTTTAGATAGGATATGATTTAAAATATTATTTGAAATAACTATCGTAATATTTTTTTGTAATATTATATATGTTGGATAAAAAAATTAAAAATATAAAAAGTCTATCGTGTATATATATATAATATATATACATGTATGATCCAAGTGCAAGAACCCAGCGGACGCTGGGCCTCTCAGTGGCTGCGGAAAACTCGTTCCGTGATGGTCTCCTAATTTGATTGCCTCGGCCAACAACTTTTAACCCTGCGATTACACTTTAGACAATGGAAAACACGTCTTCTTTGATCTGCACCAAGGTAACGCCTTTTAGCTTGACGCTTGCCAACAAGAAGTTCATTTCTTCTCTCAGACCTTCCAACAAACATATTGATTGCAAATTGGCTTTGAAGAACTCTGGTGCCCAGAAAAGTTTCAAAACCCAATGGAATATCCCTCTAAACACTTCCTCTAGCTGCAGCACCGTTTTCAATCTCTCCCCCAACGGTGTTACCAGTCGATTCGTTATTCAATGCTCTTCATATTCTGATGTAAAAACAAGCCCAGGCTCTCCGAACCCAGTCATCATAGCCCTCAAAAACGTTTCTTTCGAGTCACTAAAATCGACCCTTTTAAATTTAACCCCATTTGAGGTATGCAAATGGTCTTTGGCTTTCTCCATTGCAGTTGCAGCCTCAAGGTGGACTATCAATGTGCTATTCAGCCCTTTCTTCTGGATGTATTTTAGCTGGACTTGGTTGTTTTGGCCTTGGATGGTAGCTATTAGTCTTGCAATTTACGGTCTTTACTGCTTTAACAGGCATTTACACGGCAATGCCAATGCTTTTCAGCAGCTTTCAATTGTTACTGCAGCATTTACTTGGCTCACTTTAGTACCCCAGCACATTTCAATGGTTTTCTCGAAGGATGGCCTATTGTGTTTTTCTTTGTTTACCACTACTTCTTTTTCTTCAATGTGAGCGTCCGAAAGCGGTTGTATGGTGATTATTATCCCAGAGAGCATGATCCCGCGTGGGATATTACCCTGCCCAGTGGCAAAAACTCTTGTTCTGTGTGGAGTGATGGTTGGCCATTGGTTTGCAGCATTTGAGGGGCCAGAATTACATCTTGTTCCTGGTGGCTGGAGTAATTTGGGCATTTGGATTTTGATAATGTTGACATTGTTTATGCAGTACCACTCCACGTTGTATTTGGCAAAGTATTCAGAGAAGGTAGTTGTGCCGACTTCTGTTGTGCTGTTTGGGCCATATCGGTTTGTCCGCCATCCAATTTATGCGTCCACGATGCTTTTGTTCGTCACTTACTTTGCCGCAATGCGAGCACCCTTGAGCGCATTGTTTATAGTTGCAGTCTGCATATTCTATTACGGGCAAAAGGCAAAACTAGAGGAACTCATGATGGTGAAAACCTTTGGACAGATGTACACTGGATACGAATAAAGTTAGGTACAAATTTATCCCCTTTGTCTACTAGTTTATGTTGTAATATTAATTCTTGGAAGAAAAGTGATAATACTATGAGTTCATGGATTCTTGATCTTTTTTCTAATCTTTGTGAGTCCAAGTATCATTTGAAAAGCTTATTAGCCTGTAAAATGAGTTGGTTTCTAGCTGGTTGAAGGTATTAATAAGCTTTATGCAATCATGTATGTCAATCTTATGTTGGATGTTTGTTTGGCAGACTTACTCATAGAAATGCAAGTCCTGTAGAAACTTGGGCTGATGACCTTATGGTTGAGTTTATTGTTATGTATTTTTAGTCTGTTCAACCTTAAGTCCTTCTCAAGTTTCACGTGCAAAAATTTCCTGAGCAATTTTCTTGTCACACTAATAGGTATGGCCTGAATAAGGAAAGAAGGTTCAATGTGCTTCCTTTTGCTCACCTCGTCAAACTTAGTATCTATAGAATAGACATTATAAAGGACCATAAGGTTGAAACTTCATATTTGACCTTGAAACTATTGCTTTTTGTACAAAGCCACCATTTTTATTTTGATAGTTGTAACTCTAATGTTTAATGGAGTGAAAGTCATGAGCAATACAGCAATTACTCAGGGAATGAGGATTTCATTCTCATGTTATTCCTAGCATTGCATCTTGACGAGTAGTGTTTCCGTTTAGTTGGTACTTCTTTTCCTCAGTGAGCCTGTGGGTTTTGTCTTCTGTGAAAAGGTCATATCCACTTGGACCTGGCTGTACGATTTGATGTAAAGGTTTGAGGATCGTTAACTAGTGTATATTTTAATACTCATAGGAAAGAGCAGCTTGTGTTAATTATCATCCAAGATGTATTTACCACGTGTTGTCTTGAATCTTCTCATGCTTTTGTACTTCAATTTCACATGCTGCATGATTGGTCAACTATTCATCTTATGATGGTCCAGTATACTGTTAAGAGATTGCCCATGGTTTATCAGGTCAAGAATGGACATTCAGAAAAATC